ATTTGAAGGTCAATTAAAAAGTTTCAACATATTTTGAAGCTTAATACATATAAATGTTTTCAAAACAATAATATATATATATAATATTAATGTTTTGGAGCCAAAAACTTACCCACAATGGCTTGCTATCGGGGCTTTCGCGTGTCGCCTAAGCGTTACACTTAAGCTCGGGCCTGGCGTACCCCACCCAACCAAGTTGATATATTTTTGGGCAAAAGATGGTAATTATAATTCTTTAATAAATCTGGAACTGAAAGTTTAATTGAAATTTTTAATTAAGGATGATGGAATTAATAATGTAAAGACTATTGCGATCAAAGCCATAATACAGCGTGGAATCTGCATCAAACTATTATAATTTGTGTAATAGAAAATTTTAATTGGGGATCAAAAGCCATAATATCATTTCCTTAATTGGGGGATGAAATATTTTCGTCATTGTATGAGTTCCAACTTCCAATCACCAAGTGTTGCCAACCTGTTTCAAACAATTCGGGAGAATGAAGTATTTTCATCATTAATTTAGCTTGAATTGAATTAAAATAAGAGGTAAACAGCTCGATACAGTTTTCTATAACTTCTATTTTATTTTTTTGGTTTAAAATACAAAGTTTGATTTCGAATGTAATGTGTAATAGAAAGAAACTCCCATCTGATATAAATGTGGTAGAACTTCTGAAAATTTCAACATTTAAAGACCATTGTCAACTGAATTTCGATCGATTGTAAGTTGAATGCCTGCAGCGCCGTCTTCCAATTGCAACTTTACAACTGTGCTAAAGTCAGTGAAGTATTGGAAGAGGGAACTCCACAATGTATATCCAGAAAATTTTATTGAAGAAAAGAACAAGCACAGACTAGTTCAATGACTCCAACTATAAATAGGCAAAGTTCTCCATCAAGATTTCTCACCTCTCATTAAGCAATATATAGAACTTGGAAGAATTTAAGCTAGAAATCTTGCCTTGTTGCAATGGAAGGTGGTCAAATTGTCGTAGCAATTTCCCTGTTGGCTCTGGCTTTCTCATTCGCCACTGCCTCTGATCCTAACCATCTCCAGGACTTCTGTAGAGCCATCAACGACGCCCATAATAGTGGTATGTTCACCCTTTATTTTTGTTTGAATATATTCAAATCAATGCCTAAACTCTAAATTAAAGACACTCAGTGATGAACCATTACTTGTAAACAACTAAACTATCTGATTTAATTCTATCTTTTTGCAATGCATGGTATGTGTCAAGTGTCGACTCATATTTCGCCTTTCATGCAGTATTTGTTAATGGAAGGTTCTGCAATGATCCAAAATTGGACGAAGCAGAAGACTTCTTCTTTTCAGGACTCAACATGCCTGGGAAAACATCAAATCAACTAGGATTAAAGGTCACTCCTGCCATTGTTGAACAAATACCAGGACTTAACACTCCTGGCATATCTTTGGCTCGAATTGACTTTGCACCTAATGGCCTAAACCCTCCTCACACTCACCCTCATGCCACAGAGATCCTTGTAGTCCTGGAAGGCACACTCTATGTTGGCTTTGTTACATCCAGCCCAGATGATCGTCATATCTCTAAAGTCCTAAACCCTGGAGATGTTTTCATTTTTCCAATTAGTCTAGTTCACTTCCAGTTCAACATAGGGAATACGAATGCAGTTGCCTTTGCTGGTCTTAGCACTCAGAATCCCGGTGTGATTACCATTCCAAATGCAGTGTTCGGATCCAAACCACCCATTAATCCTGATGTTCTAGCCAAGGCTTTTCTGCTGGATAAGAGTGTGGTTCTGATGGAATAACAATTAGAGCATTGTTTTCAACAGATTTGAAGTCTTGATATAGCAGCTTATTTCTGATGATGTTTGACAGGTTTTCTCATTATAGAGAATTAGTTCTTGTTGAGGTGTGATGATGAGGTTCTTTATGTACGTTTTCTTTTCTAAGGTTTTTTGTATGTTGATCTCGAGTTTGTTTAAAAGATTGCAGTCTGTTTTCAGTGACAGGGTTCTATGCAATATTTACATGGAGTAATAAGCTTCAAAATACTTTATTGAGGTCCTCAATGTGTGAATATTTGAATGAATAAGCATAAAATTAGTAGCCCAAATTCACAAGAAATACAAAAAATTTCCAACCGTATCATGCCTTGAAGACGAGAAGAGTTTCTCGGCCTAGACCCATTTAATTGCTTTCAGAAACCAGCATAGTTTTTAAAGATAAAATCTGAGCTTCTTGCAGTGAAACTGACATCCTAGACCCGTCATTACTTGATTAAGTTTTACATCTTCATGATTTTCTTCCATTAAGTTTATAAAAAATTAAGATACCAAAGTTTTTTAACTCGGTATTAAGCCCGCGAGGCCATCACTGCCCATCAATGTTCACTTTCGGACACTGATTGAGGACTCTTGACTGCAAGTAGTCTTCACTGCAGAAAACAAAAAAGGCTCTCAGACCCACTCTCTTTCTACCCGAAGGCAAAGCCACCAGCAACGCCACAAGGCGCAGGACAGCTGGTAGAGAAGGGAGCCTCTGGTTCTCTGGTCAGATAATACCAAGTAGATAGTCGAATGGGTATCCGCCTCCCCATTTTATAAAGGTGAAAGCCCAGCCCACCCTCCCCCCCCAAAAAAAAAGATTTGCAGCACTAAAATTCCTAAAATGTCCAAGAGGTTTGGGCTGGTAATAGATTGGGAGAAAAGATCCATACAAGACTATAGTCTAAACCCAGACCGAAAAGGAAGTCAAAAGCTCAAGATAGCCCAATAAACTCGTCAAAATACAAACATCAAAATAATTGTGAACCAGAGAGATCCACAAATTTCGAATATCTAAAAAGTGTCCTTGGAATATTAATGGGCTTTTGGGGTTAATTTTGCTGTAGTTAGAGGTAACAGCGGTGCTTTTTGAAATGGATACCAGGACCAAAGAAAATTTTTAGGCAAACATTTCTTCGTTTTTTAATTATTCATAAAAATTTCTATGTATAAATAATGGTGTAATTGTACATAGAGACATTGAATCAACTAGGATCCAAAGTCACTCCTGTCAACGTTGAACAAAATACCAGCACCTGACACTCATGGCAACTCTCTGGCCCGAATCGACTATGCTCCCAATGGTGGCCTAAACCACCCCTCGCACTCACCCTTACGCCACAGAGATCCTAGTTGGCCTTGCTACATCCAACACAGAAAATCGTCTCTTCAACAAATTCCTATGTCCTGGAGATGTTTTGTTTTCCCAGTTGGTCTAATTCACTTCCAGTTCAACATAGAGAAAACTAATGCTGTTGCCTTTGCCTCTTTGAGCAGCCAGAATCCTCGTGTCGTTGCCATTTGGACAACAATGTGGTGAAACATCTTCAGTCACGATTCTGGAAGAATAACAATTAGCGCATTGTTTCAGCTTTTAACATCCATCAAATTGCTGCTTATTTGGGATAATTCTTTTGACAGTTCGCTCGCTATGGAAGTGGTTTTCTTGTTGAATTAATTTGTTTATGTAAGCTTTTAAATTTGTTTTTAATCATAGTCTTACTATTGCTGTTTGTTTCCATTCTTGGACCAACATGGGTTGTCCGCCACCCAGGTTCCATGAAATAATAAAAGCACAAAAGAGTATTTCAATTCAACTATTTCTGCACGTTGTGAGCAGTTTGATGAATTTGGTTTGACATCTACAAAACTGCAATCTTTGGTCACGCTTCTGCCACTGCTAGTCTTTTTCAATGAATTAAATTTAAGATGTTTAGCTGCTCTGTTTTAACCAGCAAACCATGTTTCACCTGCAAATATACACTGAAGTTCTCCTAAACCTGAAATCTATTTCTTCTTCGTTGTTCCAAACAAGGCAACCATGTTAAGCCTATTGTAAAATGATTAACAAAAGAGTATGTTTAAGTTTTTACATCAAAATGGAATTTGAATCTTTAACCCTGCTTTGTGCCGACTATCAATCTGCACCAAAAACAGTTTTTTTACCGTCCTGATCACTACTCTCATGATTGGGAATGAAGTTTCCACTTTGCATTCCAAAAGAATACGCTTAAACTTTATATTGGAACATAGATAGTAATCCCAGATGCAATTATGGCCCTAAGCCACAATTTTTACATTTCTTTGGGGTGCTTTTGTTCATGATTCAAGTCATAAGTGGCCTAGAAATAGCCTAATCAGAAAGGGTTCAGTCTTTATGCGAGCACAGTAATCATCACGTTACAGTCGGTTTACTTAAATCCCACATCAGGAAGCGGACATTAGGAGGGGCTAGAGGCTGGTTTAAAAAAAAGCGAACCTGCTGGCCAGTTGCATAACTGTTCTGGGCTTTTAGGTTAAGATCGAGGATTTGCTTTTATGTGTTTAATTTCTTAAACATGGGTCATTGTTTAGCAAGATGTAAAATATGTGTGTTTAGAGGGAAGGCCAACCAATCAAGGTATAAAGTTTGTAAACATAAAGTGAAACTATAAATGTTCTCTGGGCTATGGATTAGATGGTACAATGAACTATTTAACTTGATGGGAATGTAATTGTAAGACTATCAGAAGGCATAATAGCCTGGAATCAATAAACTATTGTAATTTCAATGTAATAGAAAATTTTAATTGGAGATCAAAAGCCATAATATCATTTCCTTAATTGGGGAGATGAAGTCACTAATTGTATGAGTTCCAAATTCCAATCACAAAGTGTTGCCTACCTGTTTCAAACAATTCGGGAGAATGAAATATTTTCATCAGTAATTTAGTTTTGAGTTCCAAATTCCAATCACAGCTCGATACAGTTTTCTATAATTTTCATTTTCTTTTTGTTTTAAAATACGAAGTTTGATTTCGAATGTCATGTATAATAGAAAGAAACTCCCGTCTGATATAAATATGGAAGAACTTCTGAAAATTTCGACATTTACAGACCATTGTCAACTGAATTTCAATCGATTGTGAGTTGAATGCCTGCAGCTCCGGCTTCCAATTGCAACTTTACAACTGTGCTAAAGTCAGTGAAGTATTGGAAGAAGGAACTCCATAATGTATATCCAAAAAATTTTATTGAAGAAAAGAATAGGCAAAGACTAGTTCAATGACTCCCAACTATAAATAGGCAAAGTTCTCCGTCAAGATTTCTCACCTCTCATCAAGCAACATATAGAATTTGGAAGAATTTAGGCTAGAAATCTTGCCTTGTTGCAATGGAAACCCTCGTAGCAATTTCCCTGTTCGCTCTGGCTTTCTCGTTTGCCGCTGCCTCTGATCCTAACCATCTCCAGGATTTCGGTGTAGCCATCGAGGACGCCAATAATAGTGGTATGTTCACCCTTTATTTTTGTTTCAATGTATTCAAATATATGCCTAAACTCTAAATTAAAGACACTCAGTGATGAACCATAACTTGTAAACAACTATACATCTGATTTAATTCTCTATCTTTTTGCTATGCGTGGTATGTGTCAAGTGTCGACTCATATTTCGCCATTCATGCAGTATCTGTTAGTGAGAAGTTCTGCAAGGATCCAAAACTTGCCCAAGCAAAAGACTTCTTCTTTTCAGGACTCAACATGCCTGGAAACACATCGAATCAACTAGGATCAAAAGTCACTCCTGTCATTGTTGAACAAATACCAGGACTTAAACACTCTTGGCATATCTTTGGCTTGAATTGACTTTGCACCTTATGGCCTAAACCCTCCTCATACTCACCCTCGGGCCACAGAGATCCTTGTAGTCCTGGAAGGCACACTCTGTTGGCTTTGTTACATCCAACCCGGATAATCATCTCATCACCAAATTCTTAAACCCTGGAGATGTTTTCATTTTCCCAATTGGTCTAATTCACTTCCAGTTCAACACAGGGAATACTAATGCAGTTGCCTTTGCTGATTTTAGCAGTCAGAATCCTGGTGTGATTACCATTTCAAATGCAGTGTTCGGATCAAAACCACCCATTAATCCTGATGTTCTTGCCAAGGCTTTTCCGCTCGATAAGAATGCGGTTAGCTATCTTCAGTCACGTTTCTGATGGAATAACAATTAGAGATTTGTTTTCAACAGACTTGAAGTCTTGATGTAGCAGCTTATTTCTGATGATGTTTAACAGGTTTTCCCATTATAGAAAATTAGTTCTTGTTGAGGTGTGATGATGAAGTTCTTTATGTACGTTTTCTTTTGTAAGGTTCTTTGTATGTTGACTTCGAGTTTGTTTGAAAGATTGCAGTCTGTTTTCAGTGACGGTTCTATGCAACATTTACATAGAGTACCAAGCTTGAAAAATGCTTCATTGAGGTCCTAAATGTGTGAATATTTGAATGAATCAGCTTTAAATTAGTAGCCCAAATTCACAAGAAACATAAAAAATTTCCAACCGCATCATTCCGCGAAGACAAAAAGTGCTTCTTGGCATAAACCCATTTAATTACACTTTCAGAAACAGGCATAGTTTTCAAGATAAAATCTGAACTTCTTGTAGTGAAACTGACATCCAAGACCCGTCATTATTTATTAAGTTTTACATCTTCATGACTTTAATCCATTGAGTTCACAAAAAATTATGATACCAAAATTTTTTAACTCGGTATTCAGCCCGCGAGGCCATCACTGCCCATCAATGTTCAGTTTCTGACATTGAGGACTCTTGACTGCGGGCAGTCTTCACTGCAGAAAATAAAAAGGCTTTAAGAACCACTCTCTTTCCGCCCAAAGGCAGAGCCACCAGCAACGCCATAAGGCGCAGGGCGGCTGAGAGAGAAGGGAGACCTTAGTTCTCCGCTCAGATAAGATCAAGTAGATAGTGGAATGGATATCGGCCTCCCCATTTTATAATGGTGGAAGCCCCACTAGGTTTACCGCATAAAATTCCTAAAATGTCCAAGAACGTTGGGCTGGTAATAGATCGGGTGGAAAGATCCATACAAGCTAATTATCAAAACCCAGACCTAAAAGGAAGTTTAAAGCCCAAGATAGCCCAATAAACTATACAAACATCAAACTAATTGGAGTCCAAAGAAGAGTTTTTACTTAAAAAAAGTTTTTTTTTCTCCATGAAATTTGGTTTTGTAAGCAGTGAATATTGTTTGCAAGAGATAGGTTAGATTCTGACCGTCAGCATTTTTCTTGTGAGCAATTTATAAATTTAGTGTAAATTCTCGTTTTTCTGAAATGAAATAATTTCTCGTCATCATAATTTATTAATAGTTTTTTTTTTTTGTTTTTTGCAGTAACCAATGCCATTTGTCATTTTGTAAGGAGATCGCACTTCAACATTCCAAAAGCCAATTAGGAGTGCTGAGTTATCTTCGTAGAGAATGAAATGCTACCAACCAATTTCCTTAATACCCATTACAAGAATAAGCAAAAAAAAGCTCTATATTTGAATAAGAAACTGGCTTGACACATTAACTATAGTATGGAATTGAAGCATACAAAATGATTGGTAAAAGAACTATTGAACTAAAAATGTCCTCCATGACAAAAACAAATTTAAAGAAGAAAATAAGAGAGGACACCTTTCTTTCCTCTAAATCCATTTCATGAGCTTTTCCATATCAAAATTCGCATCAATTACCTCATCCTCTATCTGAATGGTACCAGAAAAACATCCCCTCTTTACATCTCAGTTTCTAAATGTGTTTCATTCTCTTGTTTTACTTCACAATGTACAAGTTGGTTTGTGAAAATAATATAAGCAACAATACTTCATGTCAATCTTCCCCATGGATTATTGCATTATTCTTCTTCGAGCATAAGTTGCTGATCAACATCATGTTTTGAAACATTCGAGTTTAATCTTGTTCATAGTCTTCTGTTTCCTTTTACATGTTCCACATTCTTAAATCTTTCTTAGTTGTGAAACAGCTTTTTCCCCCTTACTTTTATAGAGTCATACATGGAGCTGTTTCTTAGTTTTACATCCAAGAAGAAACAAAGCATTCATATGTTCCCTTTTCATGATATTAAAATTTTTTGGTATATTAGAAGAAGTTCAAGGTAATTTGTTGCATATGATTATGAAGGGAATAGGATATTTAATTCAATCAAAATTGGAAAAGAACTGAATTGCGTTTCCCTTTGAACAAACATTTTGCTTCCTTGTATTCAAATAAGCAGAAGAAACATAGGAACATAAAGGGATTTTCACTGTTGGAAGAAGCTTGTTCTAAGTTGCTTTATTGTTCTTTTCTTTTTAGCCCTTTTTCTTTCTTTGTTTGTGAATTTGAAGGTGTAGAGAAAGATTGGGGATAGGATGGTAAGTAGGTATTGGTGTTACATGTGCTCTCAAATGGTGAATCCAATGACAGAGCCTGAGATCAAATGCCCATTTTGTGATTCCGGATTTATTGAAGAAATGACCAGCATAAGACATTACTCCAATACTAATGGCATTGCTTCAGGATCAATGAA